CTACTGTTTGTGTTACATTGCACAATCCCACTGAAAGAAAAATCAATTTCAAACAAATTGAATATCACTCATATGGCTGAGTATCGCTCATTAGATGTCTGTTTTATAAGGTTTATAGGAGATTATCTAATTATGGAGGCCTTAGGAGGAGATGATGGTCCATGCACAGGTTTCCCATTACAATAAGATACGATTGCGAGCCTCACAAGCATCTTTTTATTTCTTACACACATTTCTCTAAACCTGCGGTACTTTAAAGAGAAAAATTAATATAGGTGAAGTGTGTCTTTATTTCCCCCGTTCTCCTGAAGTTTCCTTCACAACAACGGCAAATCGTGGCAAATCAATTTTCACTACACAGAAAAGAGACGTTAATTACGGTTTCCTCACTGGGTCGCGGGCTTGGCATGGCGGGGTGATTAATCCACACTGGCCGCGCATAGGTCACTCATCAGGACGCGATCGGAGGAGGACTAGGTGTGTGTTGTGCAGTTTAACAATCACAGTAATAAATGGAAAATCACATTCTGCCTGAGATGTACAGATATTTTGTCATCCTGAGATTGCATTATGTGGATATTGGGAGAGGTCCTTGCTTGTATTGTACGTGGCAAAAAGTGGGACAAAATGACGTCAGTCATTACCATCTGTGGCATTACATATGAGAGAAAAGCGATTTTTGGAAAATAAATGTCTTCTTAAATATGAAGGTTTTTTGTTTATTAATCAACAGCTGATCAGATACCAAATTTAGGACCGTTTCCAAAAATATTAATTGAAGATGGTTACAGGTATATTGTAATTTGTGGAAAGCCGGGATAACAGATTTTTAACATTAAAAGATTTGAATTCATCATTGCATTCTTATGCACTTTCCTGTCATGTGCTTGCCTTATTCCTGAAAACGGGACTCATCAAATTGATTACTATGATGGTTCCTAGATAGAAACGTACTTTTTAATGCTGTAAGTTCTAAGTCGTTGAAATAACACATACAAAATGAATTAAAATAACAATTTTAAAACATTCAGCAGTTGCAGCAAAGTGCTAACTCCCAATGGCAACGGTTTACAATGCTTAAAATATAAACGGCTTGCAGCAGGGCATGTCATACATCATGTACGAGTAGCTGACAAATCTACCTGTGGAAATGAACCGACTGAACCCAAAATCAGATCAGTTCGAGTGGACCCGAATTTTGACTGGCCATAGCAACAATATTAATGCTTATGAAGTAGTGGTTAAGTTTACAAAATTAGGAAATTGTCAATATTTTTACCTTGAGAAGTTGCGAAAAAAGTGAAGAGTGAAGTCTACCTAATGCCCCTATTTCACTCAGACCACGAATCCCACGANAATCGTAATCAGTTCGTGAAGTTCATAACAGATTCGTATATATTCGTAGTCACTTCTTGCAATTCTTGATCAATCACGAACTGATTACGATTCAACCACGAATCCTGAAATTTGTTAATTCCTGGCGATTCGTAGGATTCGTGGTCTGTGTGAAATAGGGGCATAGCAAAAATCGGACACACATTTGTAGTAACGCAACATCCGTCCTATACAGTTTATAGTAAAAAAATAGGATTGCCTACAATTTGGAACAAATCCCATTTGTTTTGACTGAAATATTAAATATTTTGGTTTACTCATAAAATATTAAATATTTTGGTTTACTCATAAAATTTTGTCCTTACTTTGACTGAAATATTTAATATTTTGGTTTACTAAAACAAAAAAAAAAAAAAAAAAAAAAAAAAATGGCCGTAAATCGACAAACTAGATGAATAGATAAACTTTAGGATCGACATTAAATGATAGGCACCCATCCAGCAGATTTTAATGGAATTCCCTTCGGTCCTGGATTATGTTAATTAATTAATTGATTTTTGTGGGTTTACCTAGTAGAATAATGGGAAACACGAACCAATTTAACTATGATAAATTTTGAGGTGGGTGAGGCACTGGGGTATCTTTGTCTGTAAAATCGCCCGGACAGCACTCGTTATTAGTCTCCACGTAATGACTGCTTTACAGAAAGACTTGATTTTAGTGACATTTTATTCTCAAAATGTGATGTAGCGATACTTGATAATATTTTTTAACTTGCCCTTTTTCGGCTTCTATTATTACATAATGTTGGGCAGATATTTTGATTAATGTAAAGGGCTTCGTCTGTCAAATAGTTGATCGTTTATTGTTGTTACGAGAATATGGAAACAATGACTTACTTTACCTAGGATCTAAAATGCAATTTTCACATGCGATTAAGTCGTTATTTTGAAATGTTAAAGTACAGTATTTTTCTCTACAGATAAAATTAATATTATATTCTTGTGATCAATATAAATTATTTCGTCTATTTTATACAATTTAGTTGGTTGGGTTGTGAGGATTAACTCGGAATTTAAAATGATGTTGCAATAAAAATGATAATAATGATAATAAAATTCCTTGTAAATGTCCATCAAAGCATCATTTAACTAATTGCCAACTCAGTCCACAATTTCATACTCATATCTCACACTACTCCTCTTGCTTTTAAGTAAAAGCATAGAAAAGAGAAAAAAAAAGTATTTGGAGATGATAATTCAATCAAAACAAACCCAGTGAGTTCTTATACCAAAGCCCAAAACTATAAGCAATGCGAAACGTTTATTTTTCCTTTTTTCTGATCAGTGCAGAACGTCCAGTATTTTATTATTATTATTATTATTATTATATTTTTTAAAGAAAAAATATGTTGAAAAAAGTTGTGATGACACAGCATGGGTGCTGCTAGAATTATTCGGGTCGTCTTCTTCTTCATTTTAGTATGCTTTTCAATACTTAATTTGTATAATGGAAACATTTAAATTACCGCTTGCATCAATTTAGCTACGGCCGATCTTGAATAAGTTTTTTCCCTAAAGATTTTAAAAATCATAGAAACAGACGTATTTTTTACTTAAAGTTTCACAACGTTATTGAATTACCTTGGGCACTTTTATTCAAGTTTTTAAGTAGCCTTTTTCTCGAGATTTTATTTAGGATAAAATTTCTGTTAAATTATTTGCATTCATTTAAATGCTATTTTACACTCCCGGTTGCTTTACCTTGTTATTTATGGAAATAATATACATAAATATAACGATAAACAACATAATTAGTTTACTGGTGTATCCAAATAATCAATTTCCATCTAGTTGAACAAGGTTAAAGGTAAGTATAAGAGACTTTACAAAGGAAAGTAGACATAATTAATAAAAAAAGGTGTATATCTGACCAGCAGATTTTCATCTCGACAAATTACATTATATCATGAAATTTGAAAAAGGATGGTAAATGCCGTCAGAGGAAGAAAACCACACAACGCATATAAATATTCTCGCAACTGGTATTGACCTGGGCATTTCCTATATAGGCCCTAAACTTGTACAATACTTATTAATATATACACAAATAAGAGACAAATTACATAAGAGACAATGGTGTACGTAAAATTATAATTGCATTATGCACCACATATTTTTTCAGGATCTTTTCCTGGCGTTGACTTGGCGCTACAGGCATAACGATCAATATTTTTCAGTGGACATTGATGGCCACTGACCACATACAGTATCAAAATCAATGATATTTTCTTATACGGTTCTCATCTTTAATACATTTTGTCATTAGTAGACCTATCTCGGAGACATGAGAAGGCAAAGTTGTAGCGAACATAGGGATTAATTGGTTGAAAATTGATTGATATACTGGTAAATTATATATTACAGTATATTCTATGGGCTAACCATTTTTATCTTTTCGTTTACTACCACATTTGTCTGTTTATTTGTGTATTTTATTCCATTTGCTAATCCGATAATCATTTATTAAACGCCAGTCAATTACTTCGCTTATTACACTTTGATAATTTAAGATCATTTATATATCTCCTATATATTGCTGGGCATATGCTTATCCGTCTGCAAATATAAATCAGGTATGACGACAATATAAATTATGTACATTTTCTACTGTCGCCCGCATGTTGTTGGATAAAAAAAACCCATTGGGCCTATTACCAGAAATCAATAGCAAAAATTATCTAGGCTCCTCTTATTAGTAGATACTTGGGAACTGAACGAATCGAACCTCACGCGGACAAGATGACCTCGATTGAATAACATTGCTAATTCACACTTATGGTCATTCCGGTCGTCCATAAGTAAATCTATAGTATATTCAGGGTCACTCAAAGTGCATTACACGATTAACATTGGATTGTACGTGTGTGCAACTTCACGCGATTACATCATTTACCGTTTGTCAATCAACGAAACTCCTCCCGTTGACCTAAATCGAAAGAGCAATGCGCACGCGTAATGCCCTTAACGCCATGCCAAATCATATTGACCATCATCAAAAGTTGATAATATAATTTCAAAATCTGTTCACAGAATTTTTCATTTTATCAATAAATTTTTCATAATAAAATATATATTATCATATGGGAACATAAAATCAACCACTTTTTGAATGAAATCATTGATTTAAAATAGTGAAAGTCTAGATATTTGAAAGCGATCCTGATCAATATAGTGAAGGGGATACAGGTGCTCGGACTTTGAAAGCAAGGTGTTGTGAGATGCAGAATTGAGGATCAGGACCTTTTTGGTTTTTATCGAATCACACAATTAAATTATTTTTACTGCTTTTGGTTTATTTTACATGTGTTCACATTTACTAAAAATAAGACCAAATCGCACTAAAATAACAGCAAATTTTCGTTTAAAAAGTTAGGGAACTTTTACTGACTTTGTAACCTCAACACATTCTATTAACTTTTTTGAAATAGATTATAAGATAAGATCAATATACTTACATCACATTCTGCATGTGCAACATTAAAAGATCACGAAAAGGCACTGTCTTGATACGACACAACCTACTACCCCTATCTGAAAATAAGGTCTACCCACAAGCATTCATTCGCTAACTATTACATCACCGCCCAACCATATTTACCAAGCTAAACCCTATCAGGTCAAGCTGATGACCTTTCTTGTGGCCGAGACGGTGGACTTCGTTGGGCAGATTTATGTAGAGACAACAGAGAAACGGAAAGGAGGAAGGTTTGGAGATAATACCGGCCATCAAAATCTCGGAGAGAGACGGCTAACGACATCTTTTTCATGAATTTACCGCTCCCACCCAACCTGTACTCGCCACGGAGTGATGGCCAGCACATGATGGCTGGGTATTCACCACCATACGGGGACCCACCTAGAAAAAAACCAAAAGGTGAGCCTTTCAGTATTTGCTTCTTCTTTTGCCGAGTCAGGCACAAGTTTGATTACACAATTTTCCGCAGCCATGTTGGCAATACGGATTGGATCTTAAAAATGTGCCGTTTTTCAGTCGTTCGACGGAAGAAAGTGCCAAACATAGATCGTTGAAAATGCCCGTCGATACCACATACTTATTACGTAATCCCCACTCACCGCAGTTGAACTGGTCAGTCCTCGAACGAGAGCTGCTCTTCTTGTCTAGCGAAACCGTGAGATATTAAAAGAGTTAACCTTAATTTTTCGAAAGACTTTTAAGCTTTTTTTCTCGCTTCTTATAGTTGGACAAAAATCAACAACTGTCATTTATGTGAAGTTGAAAATTAAAATTTGTGGGTGAAGTTATTACATACAAGTTACAATGGACAGGTTAAGGACAGTGATGCAAAATGTGACAAACTTTATTTACAGGGAGCAGCATATTTATGTATATCGTTAATAAAAAAGGTTTCCTTGAATTTTATTTATTTTGAAAGTGAGATATAGTGAGCATAGGAATTTTTTTTTCTGTGGGAAAGTTTTTTAATGATAGAAATGGGTAAAACAGTGAAAAAAACAAAATTTTTTAATCTTCAAGAGAAGTTAATTTGAGGCAGTGTTGAGCTGCATATTGCAGATATGTTGTCAATTCTGGTGTCATAAAGATAATCTGCATTTGTTAACATTGTAGATTAAAATTATATCAGTTACTGTTTTAAAGTACGGATATCACTGTATGCAATTTTCATATTTTCATTTAAATTGATTAAGTTAGATAAAAATATTCGTTAAAAGTAATATTAGGGTATCTGTTGGGTAAGATTGCATTTCATGGGTCTCTTAAGCAAAATATTTCAAAGCAGGACTAGTCTTCAGATTTCTGGGCAACTTTCAGATAAAAGTGGTTGGTGAAGACTGTGAGAGTCATGTTAGCAATTTAACTGGAATTCTTGGGGTTTTTTTTCATTATATTAAGATAACATATATTTCATTTTGCATTATTAACTATATAGCCCAAGATGTTATGATATTTTAAAAAATCTTTTAATTTTCAACTCCTCAATGAACAAATCAATTTGAGAGAGGTAACTTATGTGTAGAAACTAATATTCAGATAATTGATGCAAATTGTGTAATGTTCATTAATTCTTGCAGTTGGTGGCTTATTGTTAAAAAGTAGGGACAGCAGTTAGAAGGGGTAGAACTAGAAAGCCTTGATAAGGACATAAACAGAATTTAAATATGAGCAGCTCACTAGTCTGTAGCTACATCTGTGTCTTGATTTCAAAAGTTTGACAAGAGTTGGTTCTGGTCTTGGTCTGGTTACTCTGGTCAGTTGTCAGTGACCAGGTCGATCTAGGGCAAACCTATTACATCATCTAAGGGCAGGGGGGTGGCGTCCAGACAGCCATGTTAGTTTGAACTGATAAGGTGTTATTGACCATTTGCAAACAATTGTCAGATATGAAAAAGTGATAGATGCCTCACTGCCAAGGTGACATTGAGAGTCGAGCTGTTTTTATTTATCCGACCAACTTTTGCCCTACATTTAAAGGGCGGATCAAATTTACAGACCTGTTAAGAAACCCAGTGATGTTGTTTGTTGAGATGATGATAAGAAAGCAGGTTACTGGGTGACAAGCAAGTATGTTGAATTTTTTTATCTGTGGGTATTGGAATCTTGCTGTCATTAACATGAAAAAAAATACATATGGCTCTGTCCAGGCATCGTTGGTCTGCGCATGCCTGATGATATAGGATGCCGCAGGCTGTATGCAATTGGCTGTGCACTAGTTGTAAACAACTGTGACCCAGTGGCCTTTGAGTTGAAAAAATTACATAATACCCAGACAGGTTTGGATGCTGGCAGCATATTTTGTTAGTAATCTGATGTGTTGAAGGTAGAATATATTAATCTAATGAAAAGAAAGAAACTTAAATAAAAGGGAAGTAAAAAAAAAGAGTGGGAATGTGTTTTTGATGGAATATTAAGCTGTGGCCTTGCAAAAAGAGACTGGTTCATTTGCATATTTTTCAGACAAGTCTTTGAGTGTGCTGACCTAGCACTAGGATTGGCCATGCATGTAGTTAACTGTTCATATTATCAGTTGGAATGAATAGGTAAATGTCAGAGTATTAAGAAAAGAATCTTCAACAACCTACTTGGCATTTTTTGTAGGATCCGTTATGTAACATTTTTTTCACATTTTTAGACAAAAATAAAAAAAAAGTCAAAAGGAGGACTTGAGGGTTCTGAAAGGTTTGAAACATTTTGCTTCTGAGTATGTTTTTGGGTGATTACTTCAGGAAATGGTTAGGAAAATAAGCAAATTTTTGGCTGAATAAAGGCAAATTGCTTTTGGCGGCAGCTGCTGAAATTGGAACTCTCTTGGTGCATCGGGCAGAAAAATTTAGCACTTTTTATTGATTTAGTTAGACAGGTCAGACAGAAAGATGATGTAATAGCTAAGCGTCAGCCCATACTTGTCAGTCTTGAGGAAATATAAATCATCTTTTTTTATGGAATGGAAAAATGAAATACCATGTCACAGATTGCACATCGTCTGGGTGGGAAAAGGGCAGGCTTAATGAAAACTGATAGGAGATATTCAGGCAATTTCTAAGTTAAGAGCAATGGAAATAAAATTGTAACTAAAATGTTAATTTAAAAAATTAATGTTGCTGCAGACATTGGCAGTTCTTAGTGCAAACTTGCTTTGACAAATGCACCATATTACCTGAGCTGTTGCAATAAATCAAATATAGATGGGTGTTTCTATGGAAACCATACGCCCATGAAGGTTGAACCCTGTATGACCAGAGAACTGACCAGTGGACGTAGCACTAATCAATATAGCTCTTTTCACTGGACGCAGACAGTGGCATAGAGTGGGGTGAATTTCGAAATTAACGTTTTGTCCCTGGGAGGGGTGAGCATTTCAAGGGAGAGAGCAAAAACATTATGTAACACTGGCAGGCAGGGGACCGCAGCGCTATTTCAAAAGGATTGGGGTTTCTTATAGATTTTTGAAACTGGCCATTTTGCCAATATCTGATGAGGTCACATTGATTTGACCCCATTGGAGGTTAAATAAACATGGCTCCTATCTGGCCATTGCATAATCCAGAAGTTCTGGCTGGATTACTGCCTGGTAACCAGCTCCTGTTGTTTGCTCACCTGACAGAAAATGGACTCTGATTATGCAGGTCAGATGGACAGATGGCGAACAAACAAAACTAAATGTGTTTGTGATTAGGTGGCGAAATGAACATTTTGGAATAGTTGTTGCTGCTGTGTAAAATTACTGGTTGGATTTTTGCGCTTGATATTTTGTTGATGTGAAAGTCTGTCATGGAAAACGAATGTTTCAGAAGCAAGAAGACTATTGTATTTCAGGAAATGTTACCTTGGAAATGAAATGTTTTAATAAATGAGTGAAATTGTTTTGAGTAAAGTTTTAAAATTGTGCACCACTTAAATTTAAATGTATGAAAATTGTTAATTGGAAAGAGAAAAATTAATTTTACATGAAAAAAAAAGATGTTTTTCTGAACAAATATTTTTGTTTGAGAAGAATTTCATCAGCTTAAGAAATATTGCTATATACTTAAATATTTTGTTGCTTTTATATCAAAAATGTAGTTGATACAGACTTTGATAATTTTTTTCTTCTACAATAGTGGTACTCAGATTTTTGTGTTCAGTATTCTATAAAAATAATTTTTTTCATTTAGAAATGAAATTTTTCTTTTATTTTTGTTTTCTTCAGATTTGAAATATTTGAAAGACGTTTGTGTGGTTTTCAAACAATCATCTGCATTCCATAAGGGAATGATATATATAATAAGGGTTTCATATTGTTCCTTTTCTTTACTAATTTTATAATTTTCAAATTTTTAGGTATTTATTTAATTGGGTAATATCCTTTTTTAATGTAGGAATTTATAGGAGTAGGTTTAGATAATTGTACATTTTGCAAATAATCAATTCTAATAAATAATACTAATCAGAAACTTAGGTATATTTTTCAGTAAATGCTGAACTTCTGAAAACATTGGTGGTAAAAATGTGCATTCTGTCAAAATTAAATGAAAACTGTGTACATATTTTTACTGGATAATTTATTTGAATTCTTCATTTTATTGTATTTATTTTTGAAAAGTAAAAATGAAATCCTCTAATTTGATGATCTAATGTTTTAAAAATCATGACCAATTTACTGATTTTTAAAATTTTTCATTACTTATACTACAGGAAAAAAGTTAGATGATATTGTTTTCAACTTTGAATGTTTTTACGTTTATATAAAACATCACACAAAATGTAACTGTTATATTTAATTTTAATTATTTCATCTTTTATCATATTGTTTAATCTTAATAATTGCATAATTGTATCTTAAATGTGACTCAACTGAAACACCCCACTCTAAATTTGCTAAAATGATTTAACATAGCCAACATATATTAGGAATCCTAAAAAAATTAGTTTTTATGAATAAATTTATGCTCATGTATGTATGCATTTATATTATTTATGTATTAACTAAGAGAGAGAGAGAAAGAATGTTCAACAAGCCCTTTCACTAATTACCAATGTTATTGAAAGATGATTAGCCAATTTGGGAGGAAAATGACAAGGATATTTGCTAGCTTGCATATGAATTTTGTAAAAACAAATTTAAATAAACAATAAAACTTGTGTTAAATTTTTTTAAAATTTAGTTGTGCTGAATTTAGATTTTTAAACATTCTTTCGGTAAGGATTTTCAATGTTCTCATTAATCATTACATTCTGGCAGGGATTAATTTTTTTGTCAAATGTTACAAATTAGCTGTTTACCTTTTGTAAAGGGAAATATTTATTTACTTCAGGAGAAATTCATTATGTCTCAGCAGAGTATGATTTAGATTAGTTGAAAGGACATTTTGTAATTTTATATGATAGGGACTTGGATGTAATGAAAGGAAAGGCCAGGGAGTTATTTGCACACAAACATGAAACTGCCAACCAGTCTGAAAAATATTTAGGCAGTGGTGACCTCTATTGGCAGGCAAACTCCGCATGGAAGTTCTTTTTTGTGTGCATTCAGGCTCCCAGCATTCTTTCTCAAAATGGTTTCAAAAGCACAGAGAGGGAAGAAATTGAAATTTGCATGGTATTTTTGGATGGTTGATAGAGTCTAGGGAGGTGGTGGTCTTACGCAAGGTGCAGCAGTCCACCTTCTGTGTAATGTGGAATATCAAGCTGTTAAGATGCACATGGGCCTGCTATAAACCGGTGGATGGAATTATCGCCAATGAGGTCATAGTCAGGGCAGTAGGACAGTGGTGTAAGAATATTAGTTTTCGGTCCAGTCCAGGTTAGGGTGAGAGATCTGCTCAGGGTTGTTTTCTGTGGCATGACTTGAGAAGTATTTGGAGGTTTTCAGGCAATATCTAGGGCTGTTACCAGGATGTGAATCAGCTTGGCAAATATATTTTTGTAAACGGCAAGGTAAAGATTGATGCTTGTGAATCTTTATTTTAGGATGCGTCTCAAAGATAGCATGCTAAGTCAGTGATGTCGACAGTTTTGGTAAATTGAAAGAAAATTTCCTGTTCATAGCATGAATATTTAATTACACCAAATAGCCCATTTATATGAAGATGGTTTTTATGTTCGGTATTCTTTAGAACAGATGATGACAGTTATTCTTGTTTTGTAGTTTGAAAATGTATAATCACCTTTTCCATATTTATATTCTTTACATGAAATTTAGTTGGAAACGACAGTATGAAGATTTACTTAGAACCTCCTTGTCCTGACTCCTCAAGAAACCCACAACAGAACCGTCCTTCAGGTTGGTGCAACATCACACTATATACGTACATACTAATATATAATAATTTCTAAAATTTGAAAAAAACAGCTGAAACAATATGGGCAGTTGAAATGCAAGGCTGCTGTAAAATCCTTTGTTGATTAGACATTTTAAAGGACAAAAAAATCTGACTTTGAGACTTTTTGTCAAAAATTTGTAACCTTATTTTGAATTTAACAATTATTCTTCCAGAAGGATTTAGAATTTATATTTTTATATTTGTTGGTATATTTTGTTTTGTTTCAAGTTTGGATAATATAACATTTCCTTTTGAAACATAAGGGAAATTTAAGATGACTTGAACAAAAGGCCTTGGACATATGCAAGTTAAAAAACAGAGTTGAAAGGGTTTTAATAGTGTTCATGAACAAAAATGAGTGAAACCAGTCAAACATCTTAAACACATCTTTTCCCTTTGAAGTCCCACTGAGGAGAAATATGATTCATATATTATTTTGTACCTGAATATGGAGGATTTGATGAAGTGCCATTTCTTTTTGTTATGAATATATTATTTCAGGAATATATTTTCCTTTTTTGTAACAATAAAAACCTTCAATGATCTAATTGATTAAGAAGGCAGATAAAAATGGATTGATATAAGCTCAGATGGTATTGGCATTTGCAAAGATTTGAATGAAAAATTCATGAAGAAAATTGGTCACAGCCCTACAACCCTACAAATTTTTAAGTTTTAAATTTTTAAGTATGAAGTTTTTTACTATAACATGTAAAACTATACAGTATTGGGAAAGCAAACAAGTTTCTTGAAACAAGGTACCAGAATGCTTACTGTTTCAGGAAGAAGTACTTCTGTATCTATTCTGAAGTTATTATTGACATTTGTGTAATATATATATATATATATATATATATATATATATATATATGTGCCCTTTTTTTAGAAAAGAACAATAAAGGTAAAGATGGTGATATTTTGTATATGTATTATTTGAAGAAAGTATAGGAATAGTATATTTGTAATTCTCATATTGGATACTAAGTGTCTTTATTCTAGGTTTTTTTCAATTTGTTCTTTAAGATGTTAACTAGTATGTAGTCTTATTTATAGTCAGTGTGCACTGCTAAAAAGTGTAAAATTTTAGACAATAGGAATTGGGCCAAAACTCCCTTTGGTTTCAAAGAAATGTATTCAGTAGAAATGCAAGCTTTTTAATGGGGCAGATTGTGAATTTTACAGATATTGTGTTTTTTATTCCATAAATTGTTTATTTTAAAACATATGAGTTGTAGCAATAAAATTGAAACCCTTAAGTTTTATACTAAGTAGAAAAAACACCACAAATGCTGTATAGAAATAAAATTATGATCCAAAGTTATGTATCTGAAAGATTACTCATTTTTGCATATTGAAAAGAACGAGTCATTGCCATTTATTTCATGAGAGTACACTGAACATTTTGTTGTGTTATTGTACCCACAAGACCTTGAGACTGACATTAATATTACAGTTACAACCATGATAACAATTCTTGATTTTAGTCATACTTAGAAAAGTGCTTCAAATATCGTAAATTGGTTATTTTGAAAGTTTATGTTGAGGGCTTTTAATGTAACTTCATCAAAAAAATTCTTATTTGAATCAACTTCCATCCTACTGAACAGTCACTTGATTAATAGATTGAATTTTTTAAAAGTGCAAACATCCTGAAAATCCTCCTAGAGCCACACATTGGCACTTTTTTCTTTCGAGTATATGGCACCATTATTTATGTTTTGTGGCATTTACATGGTTGCGAATGAGCTCAGGTTTTCTGTATTTCAAAAGAAAAAAATAAGAAATATTTATTCATTATGGACATTATCATTCAGGTGTGTTCTTTTTCGCATGTCTATGATTTCATATTATTTCTGCCCATGAATATCACTTTCTGTTGTAGTAATGAAAACTTATGCTGTGCACGAACATGTTTATGCATTATAAATGGTAATTTGATATTAAGGTTCCATGATATCAAACTTATATTAAAGACTTACATTAATAAGTTGACACGAATGTATTATTTTTATTCTGTTTTCTAAAATTTTTTTTTCACCTCGAATGTTTTGTTTACAACCAAATTGACATTTTAATTCATTTAATACAGAGCAAAAAAAGTTATGTTTCTTACAAACGACGAGTTTCGGAGCACATTCTAGTACATCAAACTTTTGCCAGAATTGGGAGAATTTATTATATCTGATGAATAAGAAATATTTTTGATAAGTTCACCAAGTTATGATTCACATAGCCATCCGTCTGTGTACAGCACAACTGTATAAAATTTAACAAAATTCAACTCTCAAGTTAGATTTTATATTGCTTGCTGCAACATTGAATTCGTAATAAGAAGCATGAATTTATAATAACTTCTGCTGCTCAATCGATGGATTTATACACATCTTTATCTCTCTATTCTTACTTTCAGCTGGCACACCTTACATCCCCAGTTATATGGACCTAACCAATGGTCCAGAACCATGCGTGGTGTGCAGTGATGCAGCAACTGGTTATCACTACCGCTGTATGACCTGTGAAGGCTGTAAGGTGGGGAAAAAAAAACACTCACTGGTTAATGCTTTTGGCATTAGATATTTTATGTGAATTAAAGTGAAGTGTGCCCCAGATTTTATTTAGCTTAGGTAAAAGTATATCACAAATTTTATTTAGTTTGAAGAAAGTGAAACTTAAACACCCCCCCCCCCCCACCTTCTCCGATATGGCAAGAATTTAGCAAGGATTTAGTGAGAAGGGATGATTTTGTTGCAATATCTAACAAGCTTTGAAAATTTGCCACAAGTATGCCACAAGCCAGAGTGTCATTGGTAGGATTTTTTTTTCCTTTTTGGATGGGTCAGAAAACAATTAGTCTGGGTGGGACTTGTTTGAGATCCCCACTGATGAAGGTCAACAAACAGAGGTGGTGGGGAGCATGCAGTTTGGAACCAGTTTGGATAATGATAACTAACCTTTGGAATTTAGGCATGTCTATTTACTTTATCACTTTAGCTGGGCTTAGTTGTGAATACACAGTTTCTAAAACCAGATTTAAAAAGGTTTTCTTGATTTTTGTTCCTTATTTGGGTGGGCAATTTTAAATGATAGCCTCTGTCTGTGTTTTATTAAGTTTTTTTGTGGGGAAGGGGGGCAGTTTTGTTGGAAATGAATTTTCACCCTGAACCTCCAGTATACCACAATGTGTATGACACACTGATAACAGAGATATAATCAGTGGACTCTCCTTTTCTAATCTGTTAGGAATATTTGAGGTTTCCCTGCAATAGTTATGTGTTGATAAAGTTTAAGATTTTTTTAATGGTGAAAATTTTTTTTATAGATATATTAGTTTTATGAGATAGTAAAATTTTGCCTCATAAAGAAGTCTCTGGCATTAAACTTAATGCGAATTGGAGAAAATCAAAACAAACTGTTATTTTTTTCTTATAACATGGTGTATATTATTTTTCATGTTAGTTTGTGAAATTTATTTTGATTGTTGGAGTGGAAAAGCATAATAAAGCATAGTATTTCTTGAATTATAGTACAAGCAATCATTACCAAGTGAATTAAGTAAATTAAGTAGAAGTTCAATGTGGAAAATGTTTTATGGCACTTGCACTGAAAATAAAAACAGGTTTTAAATAATTTCATTCAGCAACTGCTTGTAGCTTTTACCGCTCATTAAAGATACTGCTATAGATAAAATCTTGATAATGACAATGTTTAACTGATTTGAACTCAATATTTTTCTTTTAGGGTTTCTTCAGAAGGACTATTCAGAAAAATCTTAAATACCACTGTAAGTGGAACAATAATTGTATCATTGACAAGACAACCCGCAACCAGTGTCAAGAATGCCGCTTTAGAAAATGCTTGACTGTTGGCATGGCAACTGATTGTAAGTGTTTTTATGTACAGACACAGATGTGTCTGTACATATTGCCATCACCTGCGTCTGTCGTCGCCGATGCCGTCGCCGATGCCGATGCCGATGCCGATGCCGTCGCCGATGCCGTGCACNTCCATGATTTCATATTATTTCTGCCCATGAATATCACTCTGTTGTAGTAATGAAAACTTATGCTGTGCACGAACATGTTTATGCATTATAAATGGTAATTTGATATTAAGGTTCCATGATATCAAACTTATATTAAAGACTTACATTAATAAGTTGACACGAATGTATTATTTTTATTCTGTTTTCTAAAATTTTTTTTTCACCTCGAATGTTTTGTTTACAACCAAATTGACATTTTAATTCATTTAATACAGAGCAAAAAAAGTTATGTTTCTTACAAACGATGAGTTTCGGAGCACATTCTAGTACATCAAACTTTTGCCAGAATTGGGAGAATTTATTATATCTGATGAATAAGAAATATTTTTGATAAGTTCACCAAGTTATGATTCACATAGCCATCCGTCTGTGTACAGCACAACTGTATAAAATTTAACAAAATTCAACTCTCAAGTTAGATTTTATATTGCTTGCTGCAGCATTGAATTCGTAATAAGAAGTATGAATTTATAATAACTTCTGCTGCTCAATCGATGCATTTATACACATCTTTATCTCTCTATTCTTACTTCCAGCTGGCACACCTTACATCCCCAGTTATATGGACCTAACCAATGGTCCAGAACCATGCGTGGTGTGCAGTGATGCAGCAACTGGTTATCACTACCGCTGTATGACCTGTGAAGGCTGTAAGGTGGGGGAAAAAAACACTCACTGGTTTATGCTTTTGGCATTAGATATTTTATTTGAATTTAAGTGAAGTGTGCCCCAGATTTTATTTAGCTTAGGTGAAAGTATATCACAAATTTTATTTAGTTTGAAGAAAGTGAAACTTAAACACCCCCCCCCCCCACTTCTCCGATATGGCAAGAATTTAGCAAGGATTTAGTGAGAAGGGATGATTTTGTTGCAATATCTAACAAGCTTTGAAAATGTGCCACAAGTATGCCACAAGCCAGAGTGTCATTGGTGGGATTTTTTTCCTTTTTGGATGGGTCAGAAAACAATTAGTCTGGGTGGGACTTGTTTGAGATCCCCACTGATCAAGGTCAACAAACAGAGGTGGTGGGGAGCATGCAGTTTGGAACCAGTTTGGATGATGATAACTAACCTTTGGAATTTAGGCATGTCTTTACTTTATCACTTTAGCTGGGATAAATTGTAAATACGCAGTTTCTAAAACCAGTTTTAAAAAGGTTTTCTCGATTTTTGTTCCTTATTTGGGTAGGCAATTTTAAATGATAGCCTCTGTCTGTGTTTTATAAAGTTTTTTGTGGGGAAGGGGGGTAGGTTTGTTGGAAATGAATTTTCACCCTTAACCCCCAGTATACCACAATGTGTATGACACACTGATAACAGAGATATAATCAGTGGACTCTCCTTTTCTAATCTGTTAGGAATATTTGAGGTTTCCCTGCAATAGTTATGTGTTGATAAGATTTAAGATTTTTTTAATGGTGGAAATATTTTTATAGATATATTAATTTTATGAGATAGTAAGTTTTTGCCTCATAGAGAAGTCTCTGGAATTAAACTTAATGCGAATTGGAGAAAATCGAAACAAACTTATTTTTTTTCTTATAACATGGTGTATATTATTTTTCATGATAGTTTGTGAAATTAATTTTGATTGTTGGAGGGGAAAAGCATAATAAAGCATAGTATTTCTTGAATTATAGTACAAGCAATCATTACCAAGTGAATTAAGTAAATTAAGTAAAAGTTCAATGTGGAAAATGTTTTATGGCACTTGCACTGAAAATAAAAACAGGTTTTAAATAATTTCATTCTGCAACTGCTGGCAGCTTTTACCGCTCATTAAAGATACTGCTGTAGATAAAATCTTGATAATGACAATGTTTAACTGATTTGAACTCAATATTTCTCTTTCAGGGTTTCTTCAGAAGGACTATTCAGAAAAATCTTAAATACCACTGTAAGTGGAACAATAATTGTATCATTGACAAGACAACCCGCAACCAGTGTCAAGAATGCCGCTTTAGAAAATGCTTGACTGTTGGCATGGCAACTGATTGTAAGTGTTTTTTTAAGTTATTAATTGAGAAGAGTTAGTGACAGGCCATGTTAAAGATGTTTATAAATTAAGAGAGAAAAAGGCTGTTTGGCATTTTCTCTTGAATTCTCAGTTACTAAATATATAATCCTATATTCCAAAGTCTTAGCACCCATGTTGTATATTATGGCTTATTTCTGAGATGTGATTATGTAGGCAGGGTGATAATAGATGTGTCCTCATCTTAACCTGATTCATTGTGACAAAATTTGCTGGCTTATTGTCATGTTTCCATGTAACCCCAAGAAAGGTGAGGACATATCATGATTGATCAATAATCCGTTGTTTTAATAGTCAGAATTTGGGGAACTGAGAAAATCGAGGTTGTTGACGGTATTTAGAGCCAGAAAATGTTGTCGTTGAAATGGTTCATGGTCTGTTTCAGTTTATTGGCAGGATTTTGATTATTGGCAGTCTTGTACTTAGCGGAAAAAAACAATTTAAGATGTTGGGGTTGGCAACCCACACTGTCAAGGAGATCTGTGCTGTGATCAACATATTTGTAACTTAGCATGAGTTTGTAAACACAGAGTTCACAACCCCCGTACACCTCTGAGGGCCTCGGGTGTGAAAAGAAAAAAATATTATGTTCATTGTGTAGTTGCTAGCATGGTAAAATCTTAATTTAAAAGCTTATATTCAGTATTTAAATTAATTGAGTGAAATTTTTAAAGATGNGGTTGAGTTAAAAAATCAGCATAATCCGACCATTAAAGAAATGCCGTTTTTTCACATTTCCTCAGATTTAATTCTTAGGCATGTTTACAGTTTCATTATTTAATTAATAAGATACGTAAAAGTGTTTGTTTGGCATTTCCTGCATCTTTACAACATTATTAGTTGATTATGTAAAAATGATGGTAAACTTATTATCGTGTATTGTGTAATAAACTTTCAAAATGGAAATAAACTCATATCATTGCAGTTTGTCAGATTCAATCATTAAAATTTGATGTATAATTTGCAGTTTAACATAATATACTTTTGCATCAGAATTGACAGTAGCCTATTTTGTGCATAGTTATTTCCTGTTTTTTGTCTGTACATTTGACAGCTTTGCTGCCTTGTTTAAGTTCTTAATTGAGAAGAGTTAGTGACAGGCCATGTTAAAGATGCGTATAAACTAAGAGACAAAAAGGCTGTTTGGCATCTTCTATTGAATTCTCAGTTACTAAATATATAATCCTATATTCCAAAGTCTTAGCACCCATGTTGTATATTATGGCTTATTTCTGAGATGTGATTATGTAGGCAGGGTGATAATAGATATGTCCTCATCTTAACCTGATTCATTGTGACAAAATTTGCTGGCTTATTTTCATGTTTCCATGTAACCCCAAGAAAGCTGAGGACATATTATGATTGATCAATAATCCGTTGTTTTAATAGTCAGAATTTGGGGAACTGAGAAAATCGAGGTTGTTGACAGTATTTAGAGCCAGAAAATTTTGTCGTTGAAATGGTTCATGGTCTGTTTCAGTTTATAAGCAGGATTTTGATTATTAGCAGTCTTGTACTTAGCAGAAAAAAACAATTTAAGATGTTGGGGTTGGCAACCCACACTGTCAAGGAGATCTGTGCTGTGATCAACATATTTGTAACTTAGCATGAGTTTACACAGAGTTCACAACCCCCGTACACCTCTGGGAGCCACAGGTGTGAAAAGAAAAAAATATTACGTTCATTGCGTAGTTGCTAGCATGGTAAAATCTTAATTTAAAAGCTTATGTTCAGTATTTAACTTAATTGAGTGAAATTTTGAAAGATATTATTCATCATGTTTGCATTACATTTTATGGAATTATTATGCATTATGATATTTTTTTCTAAATTGTATCAGTCTGTTGCAAATACTTTTCAACTTAAAAACCATCAAAGCCACCAGGGTCTGACAATCTACTGGCCCCAACCAAAATTCTCCAACCCAAGTCCAATTATCTAAAAAATTTACTAAAATTAACATATGGAGATTAAACAGGCTTCCTATCACAAATAAGAACAAAAACATGGGATTTTCAGAAGTTTATTTTGAAAAAAAAACTTCAACATTTAGTCAAACATTTATAAAAAAAGAATTGGAGTACACATTAAAGCTGAAAAAAAGCCACAGGCCCATTGAAAAAAAGCAACTGTTTTTAAAAAGTTTCACTGGGGTGATCTGATTTTTACTGACACTTTTACTGACAGTTGGGCCAGTAGTTAACATTGGAGACTGTTACATCAAGTTTTGATGAATATTAAATTCGTTTTCAAAATTATACTTCAAATTCTTACAAATATATTTATTTTCAATCTCAACTGTTTTTTTTTCCAGTGGTCCTTAATGAGAAGCAGAGAGTAGCTAAGAGAAAATTAATCGAAGAAAATCGTGAGCGGCGTCGCATGGAACAGATGCGTCTGAAGCTGAAACAAGAACACTGCATGCACGACTCCATGACTGAGGATGACAAGATGCTGGTCCAGGATATTGTGGCTGCCTATGAGCAAACTTCTGTAAATGTGACAAAAAATTACACGATAGTGAGTGACTTAATGAAGTCTTGCATTGCCGCTCTGTTGCTTCCATAGCTAACGCTTTTTTTTTGGTTTTGCTTCATGCTTTATTATCCACAGATAATGGAAAACAAAATTCTCCGTAGAAATGCATCCGGTGGAATGGAATTGCTTTTCTCCTTTGACGTCTTGGAATTCTGTTAAGTTGTCTTTGCTTAAGACTTTTTTAATACAAATGCATGAAACATACCTTTGTTCACTTAAGCCTTTTGATAGAGCTGTTTTTTATTTTCATTTCATAATTGTTGCATAGGCATAATAGTTTTTTTAATTATAATATTACTTTAGGGTCAACGAAAAATATCTATATGTTGAAGCTGACTGGTTATCATGGGAGGGACAAGTGGAGTAAAAAGAAAGGAATTCAAAAAACGGGGAACAGGTTGACATTTTTGCAGTCTTTGGAACCATTTTGTTGAGTTTAAATCGGCTTATATTTTTTCAACCTGTTCAATTGTATTTTGATCTAGAATATTGTTCAAGCTAATTAATATATATTCTCTCTTATGGACAGACGCTTTGTGTCTGGACATATAGCCATCACCTGTGTCATCACCATCGTTGTGCTCTTTCAACAAAAATACCTTAAAGGAAAGGCATGTTATATATTAATCTCACACTTGAAAATGATTAAAATATGCTGAGTTTGAAAATCAGTCCGATTGGATTTTTAGCTTGAATTTACAAAGTATTATGAATTAGCATTTTCACTTATAACTCCTATGGTCCTGAAGCTCAATTACATTTTCTGAATGTCCTCAGTAACAGTAATACGTGGTTATGCTGTTAAGCTTAGAATTGACAAAACCCTGGTTTTGTGCACTTTCATCATAAACACAATGAAAATGAAACTGTTACTTATTATTCTTAAACTTGTATATCTCATAGGACTAAAATTTAGCTCAAGTTTAGAAGTAGCCAGTTGGAAATGTGTCACTATTCAATATTTCTCACATTTGAATCTGCATTTATGGAAGAAGTTTGGGGTGACAAGACCCAAAATTATAATATTTGGCATAATATCTTCCACATCAACACCATTAAATGTTGTCTGTCCACATGTCAGCTTTAGCTGCCTTGTTGTTTGTTTTCTTTAAAAGGAGAAAAGCAATGGTGTGGCAACTTTCATGCTTGATTAATGGTTGTGTTTTGTCTGCCTGCAAAATTATATTTTAAATGTTTAATTACAAAAAAAAAAAAAAAAATGAAAAGCAGCTCAAACTCTCTCAAATTAGAGATCATTGGAAAGAAACACCCAGCAGTGTGCATGCAAGATGGAGAATGTCATTTCTGTCAATTTGGTCTGAAATCTTAAACCAGTGGATTTGAAAAATAACTGGTTGTTTTGTTTTTAACAGTAAAATGATGTTGTGCAGAAAGGATTAAGATATCGGACCAAATTCACATTTTTTTTAGTTTTGCCTGTTGTTCATATAAGTGCCTTTCCATTTAAAAACTGGGACTTGGAGACAATGTGTGCACAGGTATTGGTCAGCCTACTGGCTGAACTGTATTAAGATTTATTTGAAGGGTAGTTAAAATGGGATTGAGCTAAGAGGCAATACCTTGTCCCATATTTGAATGGAATAGTCTCTTCTTGCGCTTGACGGCTTTTGGTTATAGATATGTATGCTGGGATATGATTGTACTGGGAATTTCAAAATTTTAGGAAACTTTATTTTTTACCCAATCACATCCCTGCATTAATATCTGTTTAAGCTGTTGCTATACTAGTTAGTTGCTCTCTGTTCCAATTGTTTGTGAAAATTTCAGGTTCACAATTGGAAATTTTATGAATATTTCAGGGAAGAATAAATTAAGACTTAAAATTTGCCCCCTGTTTTTAATCATTTGACCCTTCCCAAGTGGCTTCATTTTCAAAATTTATGATTATAATATCCTATAAATAGATTTGAAATAACCCAAGTATTGGTTAGGTTACTGTACATTATAAGGTCATGTTACCTTAAAAAATCACAGTACTGATGACGAAATCTGCTTAAAGCTATTTGGTTTGTTGAAAATTGGAAATTCTATATTTTGACGGAAGTCATTAGTAGCTTGAAGACTGTTCGAATGAGCCAATTGGAAAGGTGCCATTTTTGTATTTTGATCAATCAATGTAATTTAACTATCAAAATTGCTGTTTCATTGAAAGATGGCAAATTTTGACAAATTCTTGCAGCCTGAGTAAGAGATATACAAAAAAGAAACATGACTGGTTCTTTTTCTGTTTTGGTGGCATTTAATTTTGTCGATGGAAATTTACATAATTTTGACAATGTTATTTGCCATAGCGGTGTCATCATATATAACAATTTTATCATTTTCCCAGGCTTCTTAATCATGGCTTTGATAGTTTTTGCTTTTTGCAATGATCAATACCTTTCTTTTATCCTTATGCATGAATGAAAATAGAGAGATGAATGTATTCTAAGTATCATAATTAAGTAGCAGGGACTAAGAAATTAAGATGTTTATACCCCTTTAAATTCCATGTAGTAGGCTTTGGTAAGTTCACCCATTCAGGTAAAATCAATTTCTCAAAATTGGCACATTGTAACAAATTCCCGTTGAATATCTCTGTTAAGTGCCTTTGTGTCAATTTCAGCCTCGTTGTGAGGATGAAGAGAAATTGGATCGAACAAACCCAGAGGTGTGGCAGCAGCTAGCCGAGATAATGACGCCATCTATTGTGAAAGTGGTTGAATTTGCGAAACAAGTGCCAGGATTTGTCAATGTAAGTTCTATATATAATGGTTAATTTTCTGTTAGTAAAATGTGATTGTTAGACATTTCTTAAATTTTTAGTTTCAGTTATCTGTATTTTAAATTGCTTTAATTCTGATTCATTTCAGTGAAAATTTGACCACAGAATTTCTTAAATTTGGAATAATTTCAGTTAAATGTAGATGACCAGATTCTGCTTTTGAAGTCATGCTGTATGGAAATTATGTGTCTGCGAGCAGCATGCCGTTATAACCCAGATGACCAGACCTTGACCCTACAGAGTGGCCTGACACTAAACAAGGCTCAGATGAGAGGAGGGGGCTTTGGTCTCCTTGTGGAACCCATCTTTGAGTTTGCTATGAGCCTGGCCAAGTTAAAATTGGATAAGACTGAGATTGCTCTGTTAGCTGCTGTGTTGTTGATGCAGTCAGGTAGGTGGAGAAGTTACGTAACCATATCCTATACTTTTCTGTATCAGACCTACCCAACCACCAGACTCTGCACCGAATGATCCTGAATTTGAATTCGGTAGATCAAACCACACTACCTGTTTTCAAGGTGTGTATCAGTATGCGCTTCGAAATATCAGACGTGACACTGCTCTTGCCCAGTACGCGATGTGATAGTGATGATTCTCAGCGGGGTTGGAAAGTAGTGCATCTCATCTCAAAATTTGTTCCGGGGTATGATACTGTGAAATACGTACTGATGCACACCTTGAAAACGGGTAGTGTAGTCCAATCTACCGGTGAATTCAGGATCATTCAGTGCCCAGTCTGGTAGTTAGTTAGGCCTGTGTATGCGTTTATGAAGAGAGGTGGTGTTAAATGCTTTAAACTTAACCCTTTTCAAACAAAAACAGTTGGCCAAGTCATTTCAATGCAAATCTACTTAACATTGCATAATCACTCTCCCACCATGTATGGATGTATAGATGTGTGCACAATTCCTTACTTTTTCAAATGAGACTGCTGTGGAATATTTATTTTCAGAAAGAAAGCATTAAATATTTGTCATATATCTGAGTTCAAATATCATTTTCTGGGAAATATGAAATGATGCCCTTCAACATTTCTGTAAATTACACTATAAACTGGTGGCAATGCAGTTAGGTTTTGTGGCAAATATTTGGCTTAAAAAGCTGAGATTTTTATGAGTTCATACCTGTGTACTGTAAATGTCTGTCCACAACATAGCTGCCAACACTTGCTTTGAATTCACATTTTGAATTCACATAAATGTTCAAAGGTATTTTAGATATATACAAAATAATGAAGGACTTGTGCAAAATTGAGCATAATTCAAATTTTTAAATTTTTTTATAATAGTTATTACACTTTGAACGATATTGTTTGTTTTAAGTTACAGGCCTTTGGTTTACTTAAAAGTATAAATACATTTACATTTCTTTTTATTAAGATCGTACAGGTTTAAAAGAACCTGAAAGTGTGGAAAAGCTCCAGGATGCTGTGTTGGGGGCATATAAACGCTATATAGCAGAACGCAGGCCAGACCAGCCAGTTCATTGGGCAAAGATTCTGATGAAAGTCACGGATCTTCGCACAATCAGCACAAGACATGCAGAGCGAGTTCTGTGCATAAAATTGGATTGCCCCGGTGAAATTCCACCACTGTTCCTGGAAATGTTTGACGAAGGTGAGCAGCAGAATAACGACAGGCGACAAGCAATGGAGTTGCTGAAGACTGAACAGTCAAATCTTGTCAATCACATGTTGCCTCCGCCTCCAATGAGGCATGATCCAGGCTCCTACACAGTGCAGATGCCTGACCAGAACCCATTTCATCCACAGTCGAAGCCAGATCGAATGTATGCGTCCCCTCCACCAAAGTCAGAGGACCTCTATATCAACAGCTGTCAGTAAACTGCAAAAGACAGGAAGCAAATCTGCGTTTGCCATATCTTTCTTATAATTGTCACTCCAGCTTTCTTCTTTGTGTGAACTTGAATAGCCATCAAATATATTTCAACACTTGTCACAAGAATATCTTAAAAAGATTTATTTGGCAAGATTTTGTCTGTCTGTTTTGGACTGAAGGGTGCTATTTTTGGTGTTTTCTTAGCAGTCTGTACTGTGTGTGGTAGTGTGCAGTTTTTTCTTACATTCAATCATGCATTGAAACAATGAGATTGAAATGTTTCTACTCTTATTGCATAAGATAGTGCTTTTTTTTCTGTGCTTTCTAGCTTCAAGCGGCTATAAGCTGCAGACCTATAGGTTGCAAAAATCCAAAGGAAGATAAATTTTGCAAGATAATTCTCAGTCTTTTTTTTTAAATTTTTTTTCAAAAAATAAAATGGGAAATGCACACGATCATTAAATGAATCTTGAGATACATAAATTGTATTGTCACTTTCCATTGTAGGTGTTCCCATATTTTTAGTAGATAATATGCAGTCACTGCAATGTTGTAGATATGTTCATTAGATGCACATTTGATTATTACTCATAAATTTCAGTTGTCTTTTTTTCCGTTAAGATTGATGGAGACTTATAATTTTTAATTACTCATTGGAAAAAAAAAACGAAAAAAAAAATTCTTCTCTTTTATGAATCCAACTGTCATTTTAGATGTTATGACCAAAGCATTGTTTTGGGAGAAAAGGGGAAATTTATCTTTGCTTTTATTTTCTCTTTTTTCTCTAATTAATGAGTAATTACAGTCAGTGCATTGAGGTAAGACACTTAATATATATTTTAAGTACATGAGGCAAGTACATATCAGTGGGGTTAGTCTTTGTCTGGAATTATTCTGAAATCTTGTCATCTACACAGATAGGAAAGCAATTTATTAGATGTAGATAGGTTCATCATATGTTGTAGAAATACTCCACTAAGGAGCGAATTGTAAGCAGATGGTTGTTATGGGATTTTGGTCAGTAACTTATTCATATTATTGGGTTAAACATCAGTTAAGCATCTCTTTATAAATTTAAGTGAATGTGATTCCTTGTAGCAAGTTTAAACATTGCAAACCTGCAGACGGAACTTATAAATCAAAAGTTATTTTTCTTGACCAGACTTTTGGATATTCTGTTGCCTATTTGATATTCTGCCATATATATTTTCACTTCCAAGATCTTTTGTGCCTTTTTTTTTTCTCCACTTGATGCCCGTTTGATAGTAACTACCTAGGGAATATTTTCTATCAAAACCATTAGGTTGACTGTGATTTCATCTTGCCAAAAATATATTTAGAAAAACCCTCATGGCAACATTATGAGCAATGAAAAGCCAATTTAAGTTGTTATATCAAGTTCTTGAATTTATAAAGGGATGACCTTTACTGGATGTTAGTATGACTGTGCATAATGTTCGCTACCCGGTGACATGTTAACAAAGTGATGTAGATCAGTGGTAACTGCTAGTCTTTTTCTCTCTTACTAGATAAGTAGTATTTTAGGTAGTTTCTTATATAGTGTTGTTATTTTCCCAATTGTGTTGGTGGCAAGGCTTTCTAGTCCATAGTTGTTATTAGTCCAAAAAAGTGAGCTCATGTGGCAGCCAAGAGTGCTGTGTTTCAAGATAACTTTTTGACCTCTCCCTGTAAGTGGTCATTCTCCTGCTCTAACACACTGTTAAGTCTGTTCTAATCAACTGAAAAAGTTGCAAAAGTCCAACGTCGAGGTCTTCAACTTTTATTCTTTAAGTTTTTGTAGTAGAAAGTTATTTCAACCCCTTAAGTCTACAACAGTTGAATTAATCATTCGTAGTTTCCAAGTTGAATGCGTTTCTGCCCAGCTTTTTGGGCAAAGAGGTAGAAATTTGAAGGTTTTAATACCAGACTGTTACTGTGAAATGCCAAAGAAAGTGTGCGAAGTAGTGATGTCTGATGTATAGTGCATGTCGGATATTGTACATGTACTTAAAATGGTAAGGAGTAGAAAAAAAAGGTCTGCTATTTGCTGTATATATACATATATACATACATATATATCTATCTATATAAGTAATGTGGTCATACGAGGTGATGTTGATAATATCCAGATAAATCTGGCTCAGAAACATTGTTATTATTATCATAATAATCTACATCATTGGTACGTGATTTAGTTGCTTAGACTGATGTTTGATGATTACAACACACAATGAAGATGCTGGGAGAAGTTGACCGTGGGCACCAGTATGTTAAATAGGCAGCATGTTGACTTGTGCTGTAACATTGGACACCAGTTGAAGTTTAGAAACCGTACTAGAAGCGGTATCAGTAGTAATGTTAATGCTTATTGGATTATGTTTTGTAAACATTGTTTACTATTATCATTATTGTTGTTATTGTAAATTAGGGTTAAGGTATGTATTAAAAACCAAATTTTATGATGCCATATATAAGATTGAAGATGAAGAGGAGGGAAGGTGGGTTGGAAGGGGGTGGCCAAGTGCCACGCGAGGAGGTAAACAGCTCATGGGGTTTTCTTTAGAAAGTGCATCGGAGTACATGGCCCCCTAAACAAACAATGCACTGCTTTTTTTTCCTACTGGAGCATGTAAATAATGAAATAGATCAGTAGATCTTATATAATTATCAAGTTGAGTATTGCATGTTGGTTACATTAAATTCAGAGAAATATGTCTGTCTTGTATATGCTTTGAGGTTACTTCTGTAAATTGAAACTGTTCCAGATGTTTTAAACATCAGATAATAGTTTTTAGACTGTTTTTATTATTCATTTCTCAAAAATACTCCTGGAGTTTTTGTAACACTGTGGGTTATGTCTCCTACCATTAGCACAGCATTGCAAGTAGCTTGCTTGAATGCCATATCATCTTTTTACTGAGTAGTTCTCATAGATATGACGTCTTTTATCTTATGCAGATGGAAGAAGAGCCGTTATGTATTATAGGATTCCATTGTCGTGAAGTGTCACGGCTTTAATTGCTTCTGCTTTACTATACAGCCAGCCCTACCTCACTGTATAAAAATGTGTAGGCACTGTCCATTTATCTTAATCCTCAGAGGGGAGACTATTGTTTTTAATTGTAGATTGTTAAAAGTATCACTTATTATGATAATGACAATAATTAATATTATACTGTGGGTATAGCTCTTAATTCCTTCTTAGTAGACAGGCAGTACACGTATGTGTGTGTATACATATACACACATTTATGTACTGTAAATATATATATATAAACATATATATCATATATGGCTCTTTGTTGGGCTAAATACATTGTAAGGAAAGGAGTGCACTGTCATGCTCTTTATATTTAAACAGTGATTTCATCATTTGTTCACTAAATATATATATATACCCCTGCATGCTACTGTTGCAAGGCATGTAAATGTTTGCAACGTTGAGCAAGTGTGTCCATATAATAAATGTATAGGTATGTTATATATGTGTATCTCACCTGTATAAGATACAAGAATATATATATATATATATATATATATATAACAGATGGGATTAAATCGGCTAGGAGTCCAGGGCATTGTGGACATTTATGCACGTTGTTGGAGGACAATGGTCAATGATTCATTATTGTTTCAGTGTTTGATTTTCTGTTGTATGTTTTATATAATTATTATAAACCTAGTGGTAAGTAACTAGGGTGATGCAATCGCCACAGTGAGTGAATGGCCAGCTAGCTAGCTAGCTACAAGAACTGGTCGGCTGTAGTTGGGTGTCCTCTTTCTCCCACACTTTGAAATAGCAATATTTAATAAAGTGGTAACTTGTATTGTTATGTTTTCTTGAAAGGCTGCCAAGCAGTCTATGCCGTTTAAAAGATTGGTAATGTTTGATGGTATAGTAGGCTTCTTAAATATGATTGGATTGGACTGGAGTTTTTAAGCAAATTTTGGAGATTTCCCTAATGAAAATTAAGACTGGATGTTACCTTGGCAGGTCCTAATGTTATACTTCATTAACCTCGAGTATGATAACCATGCCTAGGTAATTATTTGATTAACATTACAATTCGTAGATGAATCTATGCATTTGGAAGCCGAAAATCAGTTAAATGAAAATTGGTAATTCTGAAAACCAATCTAAACTTTCTTTATAGAGAAAGGATTTTAAATTTTGGGAAGAGGGCTTTGTTTGAAGGCAATGTTGTTATGTCTCTTTTTATTTTTGTTTGCTGTGAAAAAGTGCTTTTGCTTGTAGTTCTTTACTGCTCCAGGTAACTGGTCGGAAATAAATGTGCTGCTGCTTAAATAGTCGGTGTTGTCCTTCATTACGCAAAGATACGGGTCTTGGAACTTTTCTATAATTCCCCCTAACCGGCTAGGTAAAAAAGGTGGATATGAGAGTATAATGATCTAACGCATCTGTATAAATTTGCCGTTCAAGTAAAATGCCTCACCCTTTATGTGTGATAAGTTGGTATCTGCTTCGCGAGTTGGCGAAAAACAAATAAAAAAAGAAATTGAAGTGATCCAGTATGACCTGTACATATTGAAACTGTCGAATTCTATTTGAATAGATCTTAATGTAGGCCGTATCAGTATATTTCATAATTTTGTAAGATACTCGTAAAATCGCTGATTATCACCACAGTTTTAGGCTATTAATTTATCCAATTTTAGCGATATTTTTGCTTAAAATAAAGAACGCCAACACTTAATATTACTTTACAAAATGGCAACCGTTTAATAATCTAGTCCGTAAAGCACAAAAATTAAGCAAGTAATACATATGTCAATATTCTTTTGGTGATAAAAAGTAACGAAACTCTTTGGTAATACACATGCCTTTCATTTATACTATCTGAAACACGATTAAGCATTTGTCGGGCTTGGTGGCGATAAAGATAAAGATTACTTCATCAAGTTTATATAAATTGCACATACATTATTATTACAATTTTTACAGTCAATAATTTAGACTAGGGCTTTTTTATTTACTAAAGAAATTGTTTCATGACGAAAATAATGATTAAAATTGAGTACATGCCTAAAATGAATGAAATGATGTTAAAATTTGAAAACGCTAACGTTAATCGGTTTCTGGAAAGATTTTCTGTCATGCTATTAACACACAAATGCATATTTTTCAAAATCAGCCAAAAGGATACCAGAGTGTTTTCTTACGAAGTACTCCTCGGGCGAAATTTAACGGGAACGGCCACCTGGTTTGCCGAGCCATTTTATGCTTTACTAACTTAGGACATATTAAGTCATTTGTCAACATCTGCTACAGTAAGGAGTCCAGGTTACACACAAAAAAGTTGGAAACGCGAAGCGCACAAAAAAAGCTTAACATTCACCAATGACGAGCAGAATTGGAGCACTGTTTTATATCATATCATGTGTACGAAAATACGTATACGTTTCAACACAGATAGAAATAATTGCAGTTATTAGGAGCCTGTCTTGTTTTCATTATAAGACAAACGGAAAGCTATGCTTGATCACACATTTTTACAGTATGTGGAAACAAGACATAAGGACTGTATTATACAGATGGTATCTAGCGTGTAATGACCATTCGGTATGCTTGGCTGCTGGTTGTCTCCAGCGATGCCACTCCCTCAACAGCACCACCATGTAAAACACCTNAGGCTTCTTAAATATGATTGGATTGGACTGGAGTTTTTAAGCAAATTTTGGAGATTTCCCTAATGAAAATTAAGACTGGATGTTACCTTGGCAGGTCCTAATGTTATACTTCATTAACCTCGAGTATGATAACCATGCCTAGGTAATTATTTGATTAACATTACAATTCGTAGATGAATCTATGCATTTGGAAGCCGAAAATCAGTTAAATGAAAATTGGTAATTCTGAAAACCAATCTAAACTTTCTTTATAGAGAAAGGATTTTAAATTTTGGGAAGAGGGCTTTGTTTGAAGGCAATGTTGTTATGTCTCTTTTTATTTTTGTTTGCTGTGAAAAAGTGCTTTTGCTTGTAGTTCTTTACTGCTCCAGGTAACTGGTCGGAAATAAATGTGCTGCTGCTTAAATAGTCGGTGTTGTCCTTCATTACGCAAAGATACGGGTCTTGGAACTTTTCTATAATTCCCCCTAACCGGCTAGGTAAAAAAGGTGGATATGAGAGTATAATGATCTAACGCATCTGTATAAATTTGCCGTTCAAGTAAAATGCCTCACCCTTTATGTGTGATAAGTTGGTATCTGCTTCGCGAGTTGGCGAAAAACAAATAAAAAAAGAAATTGAAGTGATCCAGTATGACCTGTACATATTGAAACTGTCGAATTCTATTTGAATAGATCTTAATGTAGGCCGTATCAGTATATTTCATAATTTTGTAAGATACTCGTAAAATCGCTGATTATCACCACAGTTTTAGGCTATTAATTTATCCAATTTTAGCGATATTTTTGCTTAAAATAAAGAACGCCAACACTTAATATTACTTTACAAAATGGCAACCGTTTAATAATCTAGTCCGTAAAGCACAAAAATTAAGCAAGTAATACATATGTCAATATTCTTTTGGTGATAAAAAGTAACGAAACTCTTTGGTAATACACATGCCTTTCATTTATACTATCTGAAACACGATTAAGCATTTGTCGGGCTTGGTGGCGATAAAGATAAAGATTACTTCATCAAGTTTATATAAATTGCACATACATTATTATTACAATTTTTACAGTCAATAATTTAGACTAGGGCTTTTTTATTTACTAAAGAAATTGTTTCATGACGAAAATAATGATTAAAATTGAGTACATGCCTAAAATGAATGAAATGATGTTAAAATTTGAAAACGCTAACGTTAATCGGTTTCTGGAAAGATTTTCTGTCATGCTATTAACACACAAATGCATATTTTTCAAAATCAGCCAAAAGGATACCAGAGTGTTTTCTTACGAAGTACTCCTCGGGCGAAATTTAACGGGAACGGCCACCTGGTTTGCCGAGCCATTTTATGCTTTACTAACTTAGGACATATTAAGTCATTTGTCAACATCTGCTACAGTAAGGAGTCCAGGTTACACACAAAAAAGTTGGAAACGCGAAGCGCACAAAAAAAGCTTAACATTCACCAATGACGAGCAGAATTGGAGCACTGTTTTATATCATATCATGTGTACGAAAATACGTATACGTTTCAACACAGATAGAAATAATTGCAGTTATTAGGAGCCTGTCTTGTTTTCATTATAAGACAAACGGAAAGCTATGCTTGATCACACATTTTTACAGTATGTGGAAACAAGACATAAGGACTGTATTATACAGATGGTATCTAGCGTGTAATGACCATTCGGTATGCTTGGCTGCTGGTTGTCTCCAGCGATGCCACTCCCTCAACAGCACCACCATGTAAAACACCTCCTCTGATGTAAAAGATGGGGTCACACTTTTTTCTTCTCTTTTTATTTACAACGGACTGATGACATAAATTATAATTCAAATTTATAACGCTCGAGTTGCCTGTATATGGATCATATGGCCTACGCGCAATGCAATTTCACGTGAGGCACAGTTCATCAAACGCAAACGAAAGGTAATATAATGAAGTTCAGAATAATAAACATTAAACTACTGCCACTAGGGGTTCTTCAACGTGCTCAGAAAAGACTTGTTGAAGGTTTTCGATTTTTTCTATTGTGGGGTTTTCCAGGCAAGTGAGAACCCTTATGGCAGGAAAGGATCCGCTCTGAATCGAAATTTGTTCTGTGTTATTTGCTATTTTTCATGTTGGGTATACCAAGGGATAAAAAAGTCCCAATTTTTTCTTTTTTTTATTTAAGAATCTCCTTTGAAATTGCTGGTAACTGTGTTGCTCTCTTTTATAAAAAAAGATTTTAAAATCGTTTTTAGCATTTTTGGAATAATTAATTTTAAAAATCAAACGCAACAATAGTTGAAAAGAAATTTGGACAGGAATACTTGTATCCAAAATCTGAAACTAGTCAGAGAATGACCATAAAAATTAAATACAATGATAGTAGTGGAAGTTAACTGTTTATATAAGTTTATATAAACGGCGGTGAAACGTGTTTCATCGATTCATATGCTGGTTGAGTTATGGGTATTTTACTCTGCCTACTGACTTAGTATATTATAACACAACGGCGATGTTACGTTTCCAGAGATCAGCTGTTAACAGGCTCCTGTTTTATTCCTCTGTGGATGAGATATCTGGAGTCTCTTTATACAACACGGGCAATCCAGCTGTTTGTGTGGCAGTCCAAACTCTCATTATACTCTATTAACGAGATGAAGCACATAAAAATATATCAAAGTGATTCATATAGTAAGAAAAGTTGAAGCCAAACAAATTGAGGCTGATTTGAACTTTAACAAGGTGATGAAACCATAATTAAAGTCTCTCGATTTTTTTTATAGCTGAAAGCAACCTTCAAAATTTTCATTTCAGGTCTCCCCATCAAATAAAGAAGATTTAAAGATCTACGTAATATGTGAATAACTGAGACATCTA